CACAAATCCCTTTGAACAAATGATTCAATGAGTCACCAGTGAATCGCTTGCACTCATCTACTATAAAAAGTTCCAAAGTCACACTCATTGTTTCTGAATGAACAAATCATTTGAGTTATGTAAAAGATTCAGTGACTCATGACTCAAACTGACAGTAACTATCTTTCCTCTTTAATGAAACAGCATTTTGAACAAATCTTTTGAACAAATGATTCAGTGAGTCACCAGTGATTCTCTTGCTGCCACCTGCTATAAAAGACTCCAGAGTCCAATTTATTGTTTCTGAATGAATAAATCAATTGTAAACTAATTTGCTCCTGAATGAATTAGGGTTCTACACAAATCCCTTGAACAAATGATTCAATGAGTCACCAGTGATTCGCTTGCACCTAACTACTATAAAAAACTTCCAAAGTCACACTCATTGTTTCTGAATGAACAAATCATATGAGTTATGTAAAAGATCCAGTGACTCATGACTCAAACTGACAGTAACTATCTTTCCTCTTTAATGAAACAGCATTTTGAACAAATCTTATGAACAAATGATTCAGTGAGTCACCAGTGATTCTCTTGCTGCCACCTGCTATAAAAGACTCCAGATTCCAATTTATTGTTTCTGAATGAACAAATGAATTGCAAGTTAATTTGCTCCTGAATGAATCAGGGTTCTACACAAATCCCTTGAACAAATGATTTAATGAGTCACCAGTGCAGCCAACTACTATAAAAGGTTCCAAAGTCACACTCATTATTTCTGAATGAACAAATCATATGAGTTATGTAAAAGATCCAATAACTCATGAATCAAAAAGACAGTAACTATCTTTCCTCCTTAATGAATCAGCATTTTGAACAAACCTCTTGAACAAATGATTCAGTGAGTCACCAGTGATTCTCTTGCTGCCATCTGCTATAAAAGACTCCAGAGTCCATTTTATTTTTTCTGAATGAACAAATGAATTGCAAGTTAATTTGCTCCTGAATGAATCAGGGTTCTACACAAATCCCTTGAACAAATGATTCAATGAGTCACCAGTGAATCGCTTGCACCCATCTACTATAAAAAGTTCCAAAGTCACACTCATTGTTTCTGAATGAACAAATCATTTGAATATATTGAAAAGATCCAATAACTCATGAGTCAAACTGACAGTAACTATCTTTCCTCCCTAATGAATCAGCATTTTGAACAAATGATTCAGTGAGTCAACAGTGATTCTCTTGCTGCCACCTGCTATAAAAGACTCCAGATTCCAATTTATTGTTTCTGAATTAACAAATGAATTGCAAGTTTATTTGCTCCTGAATGAATCAGGGTTCTACACAAATCCCTTGAACAAATGATTCAATGAGTCACCAGTGCAGCCAACTACTATAAAAGGTTCCAAAGTCACACTCATTATTTCTGAATGAACAAATCATGAGTTATTTAAAAGATCCAGCCACTAACTTTCCTCCTGAATGAATCAGCATTCTAACCAAACCTCTTGAACAAATGACTCAGAGATTCACCAGTGATTCGCTTGCTGCCACCTGCAATACCGATTTAACCTTCAGAATAATCTCCAGCACTAATGCATGTAATGCAACACGTTCTGTCTAGGTGAGATATTGAAGAGAGCGGGGATTTTGGTAGTGAGTAAGTGTGTCAGATGAAAGCTGAAGCGGGACCTGTGGTCACTATCAGGTCAGCCACATCTGAGAGCGGCAACCTGATCTGAAACCTGCTCTCTGGTTACAGGAAGAGTGGCGTCTCCTGGAGCTGCGTTTATGAATGAGGCAGGGTCATCATTGATTGTTTATCAAGCATTCTTGATTCTGCTTCTTCCCAGAATGCTTTGCTGCGTCCCACAGGGGAGGTGCATGCGTGCGTGTTTATGTGTTAGGGTGGGGGTATTGGGAAGGCAGTTGCATAACATCAGCACTCGCTGTGCTTTGGTGTTGAACTGTGAAGGCGTGCGACTTTGAAAAGACTCCCATGGGAGTGCTATGCTTTTAGTTCCCCGTTAGCTCAGTCCGGTGGAATAACAGGCCCTGGGCCATGGTGAGCACCCAGCAGAAGAGGATGGATGAAGATGAGCACGCTAAGTTAACGGTGTGTGTGTGTGTGTGTGTGTGTGTGTGTGTGTGTGTGTGTGTGTGTGTGTGTGTGTGAGATGAAAGAGTGAAGCAGAGTTTGTGTGTCTACACATGTTTGCTGCTGATGCAATATGTCAAACCGTCATCATACACAACTGCAAAGGTGCTAAACATCTACACACAGCAAAATCAATCATTCAAATATTTGTTTCTTGTAAAAACAGCTGTTTTTTAGGCTACCTCACAGTATTTTATTTTTATTTTTTTTGCTGAGCGAGAGCGCTTTTTATTGTTATTCTGTGTGTGTGTGTGTGTGTGTGTGTGTGTGTGTGTGTGTGTGTGTGTGTGTGTTTGTTTAAACAATACAAACATATTAACTATAACAATGTATGACATCAAGTACAGGTATAAACAAGTAAAATTATCAATAATGATAAAATAATAAAATAAAACAATAATAAAAAACAGAGTACAGAGGCAAATTATCAAATTAAATAATATTTACAAAGTCCTTATAAAATTTCAGTTTTAACACGTTTTTTTTTTTTTTTTTTTGCTGAAAACATTTAGCAAAGTAGTAATTAAACAATTTAAGTCACAAAGAAAATTCTGCAAGGTAATGATGGAGAAAATGTACCTTTGTGGTAACACTTTAGAATAACGATCCATTATAACTAGTTAATAGATCATTAATAAACAGTTAGTTTAATGAGTTGTTAAATAATAGTTAATAATTTGTTAATTGTTTATAACTGTGCCTTATAGATAGCCAATAGATAACTTACAAGCTTCTAGCTAACAAGTTATAAGTGTCACCGACTCGGTCCCAGTCATTCCCCTCGCTGGCCAGCAGAGGCCACCATCTCCGGACTTCTAGCATTACATCATCCATTTACACTGATCGTGCACACCTGAATCACATTCCAGTTAACTACCCACGTACCCTTTATAAGCCGCACTCAAACACTCAGTCAGTGCGAAGTCTTGTTCAGCCCCGGCCAGCATTACTGAGCGTTCTATCCTGCCTGATCTCCTGTGCATTACTCCAGCCCGTCTCTGACTCTGCTTTGCCTTCTACCTGCCCACGACCCAAGCCTGATATACGGACTCTGATACTCGCTGCCTGCCCTCGACCCAAGCCTGATACACGGACTCTGAATCACGCCACCTGCCTTTGACTCATGCCTGGTAAATCACTCTGTGTCTGTCTACCGCCAGCCTTGAAACCATTACTACTACTGTTGATGTGTGTTTGCACCTTTGTGCATGTTGAGTGTTTGAGTAAGAGTGTGATTAATAAAAACTGCATGCATAATGGATCCCTCCGTGTCAGTCTCCTTGTTACAATAAGTGACTTGTTAACTGTATTTCAATGATTTATAACTATACATAATAAATTAGTAATAGATCATAAGTCAGCTGTTAGTAAATTACTTACTTAAGGTTTGTTAAGTATCAGTCAATAGTTTATATATATGTTATTGGGATGTTATTCTAGTTGCAACTATTCTTCGTTTATTAACTTTTAGTAAATGAGGGATAGTTGCACCTTTAGAATAACGTCCCAATAACATACATAAGCAAATAACTAACACTTAACTAATATATTAACTCCACTACTAAACTAATAAATTAATTTGTAGAACAGCATTTTTATTATTATTATTATTATTATTATTATTATTATTATTAACTTACATTATTTATTTATTATTATCCTATTATTTGTCGATTTTTACTATTTCTTGTAATATTAACAGTATTTGTTATTAATTTATGCTTTTGTTTTTAGCGTTTACTATTATTATTATTATAATTATTATTATTATTATTATTATTATTACGTTACGTGATTTATTTATCACAATTCTATTATTTATTTATTTTTACAATTTAATTTAAAATTATTATTATTTTTTATATATATTCATTCTTTAGTTTTTTTTACATTTGCTATTGTTATTATTATTATTATTATTAAGTTAAGTTATATATTTATTATTATTCTACTATTTTTTTTAATTTTTACTATTTTATTTAATATTAATATTATTCATTATTTATGTATTCATTTGTTTTATAAATGTATTATTATCATTATTATGATTATTATTATTAAGTTAATAATTTATGTTAATAAGTTAGTTAGTTATTATTTTTTTTACAATTTTACTTAATATTATTATTATCATTATTATTATTTGTTATTTATTTATTCTTTTGTTTGTTTTTTTGCATTAACTTTTTTATTAAAACGTTTTGTTATTTTCCATTATGCTGTTATTTATTGATTTGAACTATTTTATCATCTCTTGTTGTCATGATTATCATTGATCCAACGACTGTGGATCGCTAATGAACTGCAAATCCACCATCACATGGACTACATATACTGTCATGCACCACTCATATACACACACCGGTTCCTGTTAGTCCATGATCACACACATACAGCTGTGCTTCATCCCCATTGATGACTAGGACTATATATATCAGTTTGTTTCCCCTATCGTTGTCTGTTTTATCTTTGTTACTCTCATGATAGCCGCTAGTTCTAGTTTTGTTTTAATAAATAAATAATTAATGCTGCATTTGGATCCTCACCTTGTCTTCCTCCTTTGCACTAGATGTCGGTTCATAACAGAACAACAGACAACGAAAGGGGAAACAAACTGATATATGTATAGTCCTCGTCATCAATAGGGATGAACCACAGCTGTGTTTGTGATCACGGACTAACAGGAATGGGTGTGTATGTGAGTGGAAAAGACTTTTTTAGTGTACAGATTCATGATGTCAATGAAAACACGCGCACACACACACACATAAATCAAGTAAGGAAAACAGTGCTAATGCTAACTCATAATATCTGACATACGCTGTGCATGATGGCACTATAGAATGTTTCACACACTTACTTTTTTGGCATCGATTAAAACAATCCGCACTAGCACCACGTTTATCCGTGCACCGAGAGAATTGTCATGATAGATCTCGTTCACCTGTGGAAAAAAGAAAAAGACAAGCAGGATTAGAATCGACATTAAGAGTTTAATACGAAGACACGCTGATATTATAAGAGTCTGACTTTACTGTACAATACACTCCATTAAAGTAAATGACAGTATGCTTGCATTCTCAGAGGTCAAAGTAAAGCACTGTGTGAATTATGACTAAGCGATTTCAAAACTTCATAGTATCTGCTACAGATTCAGTGTTTCATTATGCTTTTTAGACTTGTTTTAAAATAGGGTTAGAAAAGCATATTAGAAAACATGAGATGACGTATACGATAGTAAACAGGGAGCAACTGCGGGTGAAAGAGAATTGGAGCTATGTGATCAGAAGTATGCGAGCATGTAACTATCCTAGCCACTGAAATCTGAATTAATGATGAAGTTGTTTATCAGGGATGCCAGACATGAGAGCATTACAGTAATCAATCTGTAATGTAACCAAAGCAAGAACAAGCACTTCAGTACTTTCTTGAGATAGTGAATAATAATAAGAATAATATTAATAATAATATTATAATTTATATAGTGCTTTTCTGGGCACTCAAAGCGCTTTACACACATTAGGGGGAATCTCCTCATCCACCACCAGTGTGCGGCATCCCCCTGGATGATGTGACGGCAGCCATTTTGTGCCAGACTGCACACCACACACCAGCTGATTGGTGGAGAAGAGACAGAGTGATGAAGCCAATTATGATATGGGGAGGGTTAGGAGGCCATGATGGACAGAGGGCAGATTTGGCCTGGATGCCAGGGTTAAACCCCTACTCTTTTTTTGAAGGACATCCTGGGATTTTTTACGACCAGAGAGTCGGGACCTCGGTTTACCGTTTCATCCAAAAGACGGCGCTCACTGAGCAGTATAGAGTCCCCGTCACTATACTGGGGCATACACACAGACCGCAGGTTGGGCGCCCCCTGCTGGCCTCGCTAACACCACTTCCGGCAGCAACCTAGTTTTCCCATGTGGTCTCCCATCCAGGTACTGACCGCTTCGCAGCCATGCTTAATTTCAGTGGGCGACCATGTGAGAGATGCAGAGAGCTAGCTGCCGGCCAGCTAGCTGAAGAGCGAAGTCTTGCAATGTTACACAAATGATGCAAAGTCAGAACGTGAGATATTACTAATATGAGAACCAAACGAGAGCATGCCATCCAGTAAAACCCCATGGCTTTTCACGTGGGTAGAGAAATTGACAGGGGAGATATTAACAAACAGGGTAAAAGATTGAGTTTTAGATAAAACAGATTTAAAGCCAACCAGAAGGGCTACAGTTTTACTGGCATTTAACTTTAAACGGGTGGTCGGTCCACTATGATATCATATTTTAAACTTTAGTTGATGTGTAATGTAGCTGTGTGAACATAAACAACATCTCTGAATGTAAAAAGTTCTAAGTTCAATGCAAAGAGAGACCTTAGTTTTTAGAGTTAGCTTAGCAAAGCCTACAATGAACGAATTTTGGGGACCACAAAAAATACTTCTGGCCCATGTGAGATCTCAAAGGTTTGTTTACTGCGCACCCACACTGTGCAGCTAAAGGCTGTGGCCAGAGGCGCTGTACCGTTATAGCAGAGATGAAGCTAAAAAGGCGTCCAAACACAGCTGTTTCCACAGATCTTCGTCTGTTTCTGTATTTGGGCTTCCAAAGGACACGACACAAACACAGAGGTGCTTACAGTTCAATATTAGATTAGAGTCAACTTTATAGTCATTACACATGTACAAGTACAATGCAACGAAATGCAGTTAATTATATTCCAGAGAATTATAAAATACATAGCAAGCATGATTTGACAAAACAGCTCCAGAATCTCTCCGAGTTCAGTGCTGGATTCGGTTACAATGTTCTCAAAGCAGAAGCTGTGAACTACGACCTTTAAGGGTTTTTATTTGTTAATACTGATCATGACATGTTTAGTGTCTAGCGTTAACGGTATGCTGTAGTAACAATGTAAACAATGCAAAATCCTGCTTTGCACCGCAAACGATTTAGCTACAAATTCATATTTATCAGTCAAACAGCTGTAAACACACACACCCTCCACCAGCGCATTCGAGTCTATGTGTGTGTGCGACTGCATTGATTCTCTAAAGGCAGCTTTTCTATGCGTTTCACATCTCAGATAATGAAGTCGCAATAGATATGTGAACGATTCATGTTACTTAATTCAATTCAATTCAGCTTTATTTGTATAGCGCTTTTACAATGTAGATTGTGTCAAAGCAGCTTCACATAAATGGTCATAGTAACTGGAACAGTGTAGTTCAGTTTTTAGTGTTTAAGTTCAGTTCAGTTTAGCTCAGTTCAGTTCAGTGTGATTTAATCATTACTGATAGTTCAAACACTGAAGAGCAAATTAATTGATGCGTAGCTCTACCAATCCTGAACCATGCGAGCCAATGGCGACAGCGGAGAGGGAAAAAAACCTCACCTGATGAGAGTGAAGAAAAAAAACCTTGAGAGAACCAGACTCAGTTGGGCACGACCATTTTAATTTCTCCGCTGGCCAAAAGTCTTGTGCAGAGCTTCAGTCACCGAAGCAGTTTTTTACACCTGCATATTTTGGATATATGTGAAAGACGTCGTGTAACGCGTTGAGTTAAATAAAATACAGGATAGCTCGCCTAACTCGTGGTAGCAGCAGAATAATAAATCAAGGCTCACACAGGTCACATCCCACATCTTGTGCTTTATTCTTCTGTCACGATATATTACAGAAAACAACTTAATCCGAGCATCAGAGAAAAAGAAAAAGAAAAAAAACTCCCGTGCACGTGCGCTTGTTACAGAAAGTTAACACATTCACACACACACATACATAGACACACACAATAGCGATGTCTCTTAAAGGAGCCGCACCCCATTTACACTCGTTACAGGCACTTGTCAGATTTTATTATAGAGAGCAGGCAGGAGGTTGACTGACTGTTCTACACAGCAGAAAAGCGTGTGCTTGTACAAGCGTAACGTGGAGCCGATCCGCGAATCGCAGCACATTATGACGATGACCAATCAGAGCCACTTAAGGGCGGGCCTTTCAGAGGAACTAGGAAATATATCAGTCGTTTTCAGGTTAGTTGAGTAGCTGTGTAAAATCAAAGTGAGATATATGAAAAAATAGCCTGATTTCCTTCAAGTGAAACATGAGCATGCATTGCTTTGCATCTTATAAACACAACCAAGCCTTAAAATTAAATTCTGGACCACCCCTTTAAGAAATTATTAGTCATATTTACATCACAGAATCCCACTGTCTCATCCATGTTAGCCATTCCGATGGTAAGCTTAAATAAACAAGCCTATGGTGTGGGATCAAAGGTTGAAAAAGCCGGATATTGCAGCACGCAGGTGCACAATGACAAATAGATGACTAAAAGGCATTCAAATTGCGCAATGACAAGAAATAATATACAGTAGGTTGCGCCATATAACACATAAAAACGAAAGTAACGAGTCTGATTTAAAAATGTAAGGAGTAAAAGTAAAACGTTGTCAGAAAAATAATTGTGTAAAATAAAAGCCTGATCTCACGAGGAAATGTAAGTATTTTACGTTTTGCCAGTTAAGTAGCTAAAGTTCAGTCGTACAAAATTGTACGATTTTAAAAAGGAGGTGTGGCACCTAACCCCACCCCTAAACCCAACCGTCATTGGAGGATGAGCAAATCGTACTAAATTGTACAAATTAGATTGTACGAATTCATACGAATTAGTCACTAAATCAAAAAGTTACGAATTGCCATGAGATTGTGTTGGATGCATGAAAAATCAACTTAAGTACAGTAAACATTTCCGTTACTTCCCATCTCTGACTTTCTATGTGCATTTATGCTTTGAGATTTTACTGCAAGCATCACATCCATAACGCTGGAATTTCCCTAAAGTAAATGACGACGAATTTTTCATTTTGGGTGAGCAATCACGTTATCCAACATACAGTCTTCATCACAGCGACAAACACACAAAGCAACACACGAACAATCCTGCAATAACGCTCAAGAGAGGCTTTTTCATTTCCCATGATTCTGCAGTTTGACTTCTCACCCCGCGCCTCAGCCATCTTTACTTATTCAGTTTGCTGAAGGATGGGCCTAATGCACTGTGGGAAACGCGGTTCCCAGACAGAGCGGGAGACAGAGGCAGACAAATTGGTACAGAAGTTCAGACATGGTGTCCTCTGCCGTTCTGGAAGCCTGCTAATGAGACACTGAGATGTATACACAGCCAACAATAATGAGATTTCTGATGGACAGACTGCGGGAGGGGAAGCGGGAACCAGAGACCAAGACAGACATGAAGAAAAGGGGCTTAAAAGGGGGCGGCAGGGAAGATGGAAAAAGACGGAAAAGCATTATACAACTTGCTTTCGGAAAGTGTCGCTCAGCAGACTCACCTGCACTTCTATGCACTGATATTGGCACCCTTGGTGAATATGAGCACAGGAGGATGTGAGAAAAATGCCTTAAAATGTATTACTGACTTTACTGAATGAACACTGTGCTATGTCTGACTGAACACAGTTTGTTTATTCATTCATTCATTTTCGTCTTAGTCTATTTATTCATCAGGAGTCGCAACAGTGGAATGAACTGCCAACTTATTTAGCATATGTTTTATGCAGCGGATGCCCTTCCAGCTGCAACCCAGTACTGGAGCTGCAGCCCTGGAGTTTCAAGCCTTAAACCGGCCCACCTCAGTCAATACCTCGTCATATCATGAAATAGCAACTTTTAATTATGTCAATCTTAGGACATTCATTCATTCATTCATTCATTCACTTTCTTGTCGGCTTAGTCCCTTTATTAATCCAGGGTCGCCACAGCGGAATGAACCGCCAACTTATCCAGCAAGTTTTTGAGCAACGGATGCCCTTCCAGCCGAAACCAATCTCTGGGAAACATCCACACACACATTCACACACACACACACACACACACACACTCATACACTACGGACAATTTAGCCTACCCAATTCACCTGTACCGCATGTCTTTGGACAGCGGGGGAAACCGGAGCACCCGGAAGAAACCCACGCAAAT